ACATCAGATTTACCTGCATGGGATATAGGGGAGCTGTGATACTTTTAACCCCAGGGTAATGTCTAGAGTGACCCAACCTCCTAGCTTTCTTACCTCAGCTGATAACGACTCTTCCCTTTACCTAAGTGCTGTATAAGTACCATTTTATACTAGCCTTGAGGTAAGGCCATTGTATGTTACTTGTTACTTGTTACTTTGGGAAGCATTCTTCAGAAAGGCCTTGTTTTCCAATTCCAATCAAAATGACATCAAGTTCTTAATACTTTGCTTATCACAAAAATAAATTAAAAAAAAAGAGACCCATCTAATTTAGTACTACACCAGTAAAGTAATTACATGGTATTTGTTAGGTAACATGCCAGAGAGTAACACTGGAAGATGAGATAGAAAGTTCTCTTTGTTACCATGCAAAATGTTTTACATTAGTTCAAAAGTTATTTTGCAGGTTTGCTTTTTTTGTTGTTGTTAGTTTATTCATTTGGGGTACCAAATTTGTAAAAAGTGTTGTTCAACAGAAAAAAATGTCTGTACATCATTCTTAGGTTCCTTGAACCTTAGCAGTCAGTATAATAGTCCTTCTTTTAAAAGAATACTTTATTGTTGCATACTACTACAATTTGAGGTTTTATTCATCTGGAATAGGTTTTAGAACAACTGCATTTGAAAAGTCTTTCTACTGAAAACACAAGGCATAGTTAATGAAAGTAGCATTCATAACCAGATAATTTTTTCTACTAGGGCCATTACATTTTTGGAGTGCTTAGAAAACCACTGTTAAATGTTTAGTCATTTTCTGAAGCCTTCTAGTGTGCTCTTTTTTTTTTTTTTTTTTTTAAATAATGCTGTTTACCACATTTTTAAAAGTTCATTAAAAATAATACAGGCCAAGTAACTTAATTTTGCATAAAATGTAAAAGAATCCACAGAAGAGAAATGAAAGAGAGGGATGTTGTTTTGAAAAGAAATTTCTCTAAGATTTTCCAAGGCAGTGACTGCTTTTCTATGTCACTTAATGTTGGCTATTATATTGAATTATACAAAGAGCCTGTGGGGTTTCTAGTGCAACTTTCTTTCATAGATTTCATCTATTATTCCACAGCCAACACAGAAGCTCCTACATCATAAATCCACACTCCAGCTCCAAGAGAATTTGGTCTCTTCCTGTATTTGCTTGCTGAGTCACTTCCTAAACAAATTCTTTACCCATAACCTAAGTGTATCTTAATTTTTCTTTTTGAGTACACAATTTAATATTTCTTTCTTTTTTTTTTTTGTTTTCTATCTTTTAAAAATATCTTTATATATTTATTCTTTCTGGAATAACATTAATATAGATGCTTAGGAGCCCTGGTGGTTCATTGGTTCAAGCACTTGACTGATAATAGAAAGGTCAGTAGTTCAAACTCACCAGCATCTCCATGGCAAAAAGGTATAGTAGTGTGCTTCTATAAAGATTTATGGTCTTGGGAAATCTATGGGTCAGTTCTACTTTGGCCTATAGAGTTGCTATGAGTTGGAATCAACTAAATAGCAATGAGTTTAGTTTTTGGTTTCAGATATGTATTCTTTCTATGTTTTACAATGTCTTATATATGCCATCTCCTCATTATCTACTATCTAGTTATCTGACATTTCACATTTACCACCATAGTAAAAATCTAGTATCCGGTGAGTTGGCACATGAATGACATGTGTCTGGCAGTAGCAAATGCTGAGGTTCAGGGTGAGAGAAATGCTGGCTCTGATGGTTTTGTGTCAACTTGGCAGGCCATGATTCTCAGTTGTTTGGCAGTTATATAATGATTTAATTTAGCAATTATGCAATGCTGTAATTTGGCACTTATGTAATGATAAAGTCATCCCCCGTTTTGTGTTCAAGTGTGGTCATCCTACATTTTTGCATAGCACTGATTTTCACATAATGACTTGATCTTTAGAATCTAATCATTTCAATAAGTGAGGAGTGGGTGTATGTTACCTTGATTTTGATTTTAGAAAAAAGAGAGACTAGGAAACAGAGAGTAAAGGAGCTTAATTAACTTTCTTACCTCATAGAGACATGATATGACAAGCACCCAAAAGTTGTAGTTCTTATTTACAGCCAATGATTAAGTATTGTTGAAATTTAGAAATATGCTAGCCTTGACTGAGATTTACACTCAAACGAAAGAGACCTATGTTAAGCTAATAGGAGTAACATGGCAACATCTTACAGTGACGATTTGGTTATTCAACTAAATCTAATAAGTGCTGAATGAAAACTATTTCTAAAGAATTGTAATGAAATATTGCAGTATCTTTAATATATAAAAGCTATAGTCCTTGCCCTCTATGAGCTTATACTTTAGTTATTTGTATTCTTTGTCAATTATAGTCTTTGTCAGAAATACTCTGTTGTTGTTGTTATTGTTATGTGCTGTCGAGTCGGCCCCGACTCATAGCGACCCCTCCTTGGGTTTCCGAGGCAGTATCACTACAGAAGTAGGATTGCCCAACCTTCCTTCCGAGGAGTGGCTGTTGAGTTTGAACCGCCAGCCTTCTGGTGAGCAGTCAAGTGCTTTAGCCATTATGCTACTAGAGCTCCTAGAAATACTCTAGGATTACCTAATTAGAACCAGAGGATTTCATATTTTGTAGTGGAGAAAACTTCATTATCAGATTATTCAATTGGTATGTTTCTCTGTGGATTTCTTTATAAGGAAGTTCCATGCTGGTGAGAATATCACAGAGTTGTTGAACATGAAATGTCTAAAAGTCATAATTCCTTATAAATACTGTCTAAAAATGAATAAGTAGGCAATATTTTTTAAAGATAGTTGAGTTAATGAGTTCAATCTTATTTTGAATCTTTTCCTTTGTCTGATATGTATTTTAGTTTAATTTTCATTTATTTAAAAAAGGATTTTATTGAAAAGTAAGACATATTTATGTTAATTCAAAGAGTATAGCAAGGTATTGAAAGAAAAATTAAAAAAACTCTCCTCCTGTCTCATTGACTCCTCATTACCAAACTCCAGAGTTTGAGCTGCAATATTTTCATGTGCTTCTATTTCTAAATGTCTAAGGATATTCAAATATTTATATGCATATAGACATATGTATACTTTGTAAATATAAATTTATCAATATTTATCACCAGGAGTGATATTCCATAACACAGAATGGCCAAAACCCAGACCAATCAGAACAGATATCTTGACTGTTTCTTTTACTATGATTTTCCATTCATGATCTCTGGAAGAGGAGGCATTTAGGCACAGAGATTTAATAACAGGTACAGAGGCATCCATATTTTAACTACCTGTTCTTCCACCTGTGTCTTCCTACCAGACACAAGCCTTATTTTCACATATTTGATGGCCGATTTTTCCCTGACTGCACACAAGTGTGTCCACATTCTGGTAAAGATTTCAAAGGACCAGTATCAGAGACATCTGTGTTATGCCCCTTCTATGCCAACTTTTCATATTTTTAAATTGAACTCTTAGTGTTTACATATATACTAGTACCTCTATACCAGTTGCCTTGGAGTGGATTCTAACTTATGGCTACCTCCTGTGTGTCAGAGTGGAACTGTGCTCTTTAGGATGTTCAATGACTCATCCTGTACACATATGTTTGAAGATGCCATGTCAAAACAATGAAGATAATAAAGTTTATTTATAACACCTTCCTTTCATGAATAATACAGGCCTTTTAATAATATTGTAGTGAACCTGTCATCCAAGTTGTGCATGACCATTGATCCCAGCCAGGTGCTGTTTATAGTTGTCAAGCTTCCCATGTCTAATGGCATTTAGAAATCAGTAACATACCATATTACTTTATTACTCCAATTTTCATGCTCATGTTGTTTCATTATTACAGTATATTATCAACCCATGGAAGGGAAGGACTTTAATTTAAACAAAATTATACCTTTTTAAATTTTTTTTTAATTGTGGCTATTGCACATATATGTCGATCCATAATGTCTGTGCATTATTCTTACACACTAATGACTTTTGGAGTACCATGGGTAAAGAAAATGTATGCACTATGGCAAAACATCCACAATATTTATTTTTCATGCTGCAAATTCTATGTAGATTTGAACATAGAAGATTGTCACATTTCCCTCAGTTTTAACTCTGCTGACTAATAGTAATTTGAAGATTTTTTTTCCTTCATTTTCCATTTCTTTCCACAAGTTTATCTCTTGTTTGGCTCAAAACAGAAAATCTTTATTTAATATGTTCTAGTTTCCATCAGCTATCTACAAACCATTCAAATATCTTTCTCCATTATTTTCTATATTGGGATATAGGAGAATTGGCATTTATTATTTACTACTAAGATTTGTGGCAGCTGCTCTGCATACATTATCTCAGTTAATCCAAACTGTACCTCAGTAGCCTACTCATTATTGATGTTAATTTGCAGAAAAAGAAGGTGAGAGGTGAGATTATGTAAATAATCTGCTCAGAATTACATAAATCCTGGAACCACAGTTTGAATCCATAACTGTTCCTCCAAAACTCCATGTACCACTCTGAATTCATCTAAATGGAATCATTTTTGTGAGGATTAAGTGATATAAGTAAATTTGATTTCTAAGCTATTGAGCAGTAGTCACACATGGGATTTCTATCTCATATTTCATAGTCTCTAACAGAGTAGGGTGAATAAATTGGTATGAAATCAATGTTTTAGGTGATAATGATTATAATGGAACTTTAAATATTAGGTAAAATGATGTCAATGAGATTGTAGAGAATTATAGTCCAATGTTAATCCGTTTCTTTTGAAGTTGTACTGTCAGTATGAAGCAAAAATTCTTCTTAGCAAAGAATTATTACATATGGAGCATGTAATAGCAAAATAATTTTAGAGATCATAATAGGGTTATAGAATAAAGTCTGAAGTAAAAAATTATAGCATTTAGCCTTATACTTGGTATAAAATGGTGAGAATATTGTGGAATTAAACGTTACATAGTTGTTGTTGTTACCCTTCCCCAGGTGTTCCAGATTGCGTATGTGATTGTGAAAGCAGCTAACTCCCCTCGGCCTGGGAACTGGATCTTGGAACGCTCTCTTGATAATGTTGAATACAAGCCATGGCAGTATCATGCTGTGACTGACACAGAGTGCCTAACCCTCTACAATATTTATCCCCGCACTGGACCCCCATCTTATGCCAAAGACGATGAGGTCATCTGCACTTCGTTTTATTCCAAGATACACCCCTTAGAAAATGGAGAGGTAAGATGAGAAATCTCACTGTAAGTACACTTAAGATGGCAAAATAGCCCTGTCAGAAAGACTTGAATATATATCAGTAATTAATGTCAGGGAGACTTTAAAATAGGATTTAGCAGAAGTACATTTAAATGAGTTACTAAATAAAAAAGAAAAAGTCAAGGTGATAAGAATTTTAACTACCTTCATCAAGTATGTGTCTCCCATCTCCAGTAAAGATCAGATAGAACAAATGGGTTTCAGTCAGAAAGTCAATGATTAATTTTATATGGAAGGAGAATTTCCTGACAATTGGGATTGCTGATGTTTAGAAAATGATTGGAGACCTTACTGGAAGGCAAAGCCTTACATTCGGGTATACTCTGGTCTGAAGATGTAGATGGAAGAGGCACATTAGTAAAAATAAATAAATAAATACATACATACATATACTCCACACAAAGGACCCCAATAAATTTACCTCAAAGGAATCTGTCATGACAGTCTTCGAATGATCTGCTGTTACCTCGGCTGCGGTGGGGTGTCTTTCCTTTTGGTCAGGCTTTGCTGAATGGTAATACACAGAAAATCCCAAATCTTAATTTGATGCATGTTAAAGTATATGCTTAATTCAAGTGTGTTTTGTTTCTCTGTAGTATTTTTCATCCTCTGGCTAAGAATTTAGATGCATTTATTGGTTTTAAGCCACGGCTTCAAACCATGGCTTCACTTCTTACCAGCTGTGTCATCTTGATCTAGTTATTTAAATGCTTTGCCCTCAATTTCCTCTCCCATAAATATGGGAACAATTACAATAGTTATCATCTCAATAGTTATTTCTGATTGTCAAGAAGATTAAATTAATTATTATATACAAAGAACTTAGACCAGTGATGGCATACACTAAGTGCTCTTTAAATATTAACTACATTAATCTTGGGAACTCTGGTGTCATAAGGCATTTGACAGCTAACCAGAAGGATGGCAGTTCAAACCCACCAGCCACTCCTCAGAAGAAAGATTGAGCAATCAACTTCCATAGAGGTACCACCTTGGAAACTCAAGGAAGGGTCATTGTGAATTATTTGCAGATTCTGTATTTGTAAATTTGCCAACTTGCCAAAAGGTATTTGTTATCCCGAAATCAATACCCACTATGATTTCCTGGTCATTTCTAGACACGCACAGAGTGGTGAAAATTTTGACTCACCCGATAGGCACATTCCTGGCTGAAATCGAACACAGTGATGCTCTGACTTCTTGTTTCAGCTCTCATTTATAAACAAGTGACCTTTTTTGTGATACATTTAATGCCATGTTTCTCATGTTTTGTGTTTTTGTTGGTGATTTCACTGTTTTAAATGGCCCACAAGCTTAGTGTGCAAGTGCTTTTTAATGTCTCTAAGCTCAAGAAGGCGATGATGTTTACTATATATGTGTGTTAGATAAATATGTGTGTTAGATAATACTGTTCACCACGTGTTCAATGTTAATGGATCAGCAATACAGTACATCCAGAAAAAAGAAGATTCACTGATGTGTTTCTGAGGCTGCTCTGAAAAGTATTAATGTAGCATCTATAGCATGGGGTGAAGCTCTGGGAAAGATGGGACAATGGCCAAGCATGTGCATTCATGAGATGATGACAGATTGAAAAAAACTAGTAGACAGCATAGTTATGAGGCTGAAAGATAAACAAATTTATGGTTACATTACTCAGGGTGAGGAAAAGTTTAAACCATTTTTGGCAGGTGTTTTATTATAAAGAAATACTGCGTATCATTAATTATTTGTAAGAATTATATATTAAATATCTTTATACAAAAACACATATGAAAAAAAGTTATATTTTGATCAGTTGATGACAGTGTTGTGACCAGAGGCTCACAGAAACCTAACCCTGTATCTCTCTGAGGAGCAATGCAGTGTTCACTAATTCAATGGGTACTGTGACATTGTAGAACATACTAACTGCCACAAATATGGAGAACCGACTGTATTTTGTTATTGTTGCTGCTGCTGTTTTTGTTGTTATTTTGCTCCTGCCAGGCACAGAGACCTTGACTTAGTGACTCTCTATGATTCTCTAATACCTCTTTACTGTATTTTTACAACTTGTCTCTCATTAGTATATATGTTCTAGCTCCTTTCATCCAGCTGCTTATGTAGAGTGTTATTGACACTCATCTGATATTCTGTCCTCACTAGTCCACACATCTAAAGCAAGAATCATCTTTTATGTTAACATTTTAAGAAAACCTGTATTCACATTCTATTATACCCATCCCAACCCATTTAGGAATATCCCTTTAAACCCCTGAAAGTTAGTTTTTTTTTACTTAAACCCATCAGATTTCATTTAGGCACTATTAGTCTATGGATGTACACCATTTTTTCACTGTATTTCGAATCTCACATTCAAAAATACAGTTTTTTTGAAAAAAAAATTCCAAGTGGTACTCTCAACAGAAATCTCAATCTACCAAATGACAGAGAATCAAACGCAGTGAGTCAAACAGCTGTTCAACCTGCTTTATGCCACAGACATCCAATTCCTAGCCAGATGGTCCTGAGGATATAAGAGTAGGAAGGGAGTACAGAAAGAATAGATATGAGTTGAAAATTTTATTTTTCTCCTGGTCTGGTATTTACCCAGGACTAACAATTATCTATTATCTAATAATTGTCAGATTTTTGAAGTTATCATTTATCTTTAAAAAGTGGTTCAGTTCAGAAACCTATATTGCTTAAGTCAATATATCTAGTTAAATAAGTAAAGCTACATGCAAATCACCAAACCATGCTCTCCCTATAATGATGGTGGTTCTCGATTCTTTAGACTACATTAACCTACCAACATGGAACAAGTAGAAGTGTGGGTTTATTTGTTGTTTAACTGGCTATATTGTCTTGACTTCTAGACAACAGTCACTGAAAACAATGAATTGATGGTGACTGTTAAGAACAGCTTTTTCAACTTTCTCTGTGGCACGTTATACGTGTTTGTCTCTTCTAGCGAAGTGAATGAGGTGAAGAAAAGTAAGTCATTCAAAATACAGAGCTCCTTATTGCATGATAAGATTAACAAATAAGAATTATATTCAGACCTCTTTTAGACTATGCACTTCATTTTATATAGCTTATTTGTGGAACGTATTAATGATCCTGGAATAAACAGGCCCAGATAAAATTTGTGGTATTCTCTGCAACATGCCTGCCTCAACTGGTAAGACCTCTGATTCTCAGGTAATGCTTCTTCCACTATTCTGGAAAGATTGGAAATTGATAGCTTGAACTGATAGCAAACTTGCTAATTGATTGACTCAAAATGGTTTAGAGAAGCTATACTGATGCTGGACAGAATGTAAGTAGAAAGAGTCCCAATTCTGAAACATCATGATATAGAAGAACATATATGAGGTTAGAAATCAGAAAACCAGTGTCCTGGCACTATTCTTGGTGTGAAACTGAATTTTCTTAATATATGAATTAGTTTAATACCTAAATTGTATAAAACATTTCTCAGTTCTCATGTAATATAGTTTTGGATATCACCAACAACATAACATTTGGGAATATTATAGAAGTTTACCCAGGGTGTGATAACTCTCCTGGGTAAATGGAAGAAGGCCCATTGTGCACATGATTTTGTAGAATACAGGGAAACCAGAAAAAACCCTTAATATCTTGAAAGTTGTAAGACTAATGTGTAATTCATTTCCAATAGGGCTTTTGGGTTAAATTAGATATAATGCAGAATTCATCTCCATTCTCAAAATATATTTTTATTGGATATGGAATTTAGGTTGCAGTTATTTTCTTTTAGCACGTTTTATTGTCTCCAGGATTCCATGGTTATGTAGCAATGAGAGCTATGTGTTGTACTTTTGTAATATCTTTTCTCTGATTTCTTTAAAGATTTTATCTGTTTCTTTATTTTTTATTAGTTTTACTACAGATCTACATTGCCCAATAAAATGGTCACTAGCTATCTGTAGTTATTTAACATAAATTTAAGTTAAAACATAATTCATTTCCACAGTTGAACTAGCCATGTACCACACACTCAATACCTGTGGTAGTTAAATTTGTATGTCAACTTGGCAGGGCCTGGTTGAGTGGCTGGGCAGCTGGTGGTAGTTATTCCCCATGATGAGACTGGCAATCAACTCCATGGTGGGATCTACCACTAAGAGCTGAGTAGCTGCCTTTGGGGTGTGGGCTGCTTCCTGTACATAAGGAGAAACCTTGGGGATAGTCTCTAGCTTATGGCATGCTTGGACCCTGCATGTAGCCGTGTTGTTCAGCAGCCTGGCATGTTCTGCTGACCTTGGGACTTTCAATGGACTTGAATCAATGGCCTGCCATGTAGTTTGGTAACATCAGGGCTGTGCCTTTTTACTTATCAACCTTGGGCTTGTCAGCGTCAACAGCCAGTAGTTGAGTGAAGAAAAGCCTCCAGCTTCAGTGGGCCAGGAGCAGGAGGCTGAGCTGAAGCCAAGGTTGAGGGGATTTCACCCAACCCCTAGAGCCTGGCACTTTGAACTTGGATTTAAAGCCTCCAAATTGTAACAATAAACTCCTGTTTGTTAAGCCATCCACATTTGTGGTATATACTTGTCAGAGTGGTACTAGGTAACCAGAACAGTACCCAAATGTATCTAGCTAGCAGCTGCTACAGTGGCTTGCACAGAGTGGAATATTTCCGTCATTCCAGAAAGTTGTATTAGGCAATGCCCTAGATTATACTGTTTTATTTTCTTGATTGCAAATTATTTGGCTTATTATATCTGCAAAGTGATGTCTTTCATGTTCAGGAAATATTTCAACCATTAACTCTCCAGATAATGTTTCTGCCCCATTATCTCTTCTCCAGTTTTCCCATTAGTTTGGAACATCTCCCTCTTTTCACCCTATCTCTTATACTCTTTTTTTTTTTTTTTTTTTTGCAGACGTTTCTACCCTTTCGGCTTTCTGTTCTTCAGTCTACATATTTTGTTCTGGTTTACTTCCAGTTCAGTAAT